TTACATCGACTTTAAACAGAAGAGTGTTTCTGTCAGCTTGCTTATGTCTGAGATTGTAGATGCAGGCTGATATATTCAGATTAGGACTGCCACAAGCGCTTAATTTGCAAATCGATTAATCTGTCAATTATTTTTTTGATTCATCGATTAATAATCGAGCAAATGAAGTAATTTTGTACTTTTTACTTGAGTAAATTTTGATATGGGTAATTTTACTTTTACTCCGAGTAGAATTTAGGCAAAGTAAAGATACTTTTACTCAATTACAATTTGTTGGTTTATTTCAGAACTGGATTAATGCTTTTTATTGCTTTTATTTATTGTTTAATTCATGCTAAAACTATAGTTTGAAGTTTTCATTTAAAATCTCATATTGAGCACTTTTGTGTTACAGGTGCAAGAAATTCACGAGGGTCTGCAGACACTCAAGAGGATGGTGGCTGACCTGGAGAACAAGCAGAGAACCGTGCTGGGCGTGGCGCTCCCAGAAGAGAGTACGTCTTGTTTAGGACGCCGTTAGCTTAAGGTTTAATTTAGCTGCTCAGATCAGACTGTAACCAACAATTAGATAAAGAAATTCAACTCCTGTCACCATGAAGTGATTAATTGATTTTTTTTTTGTTTAGAAAATGTGTTTTATGGAGCTAATCACTTCTTTATGTAACATATTTTCACCGATTTCTCCTTCAGGCATGAAGAAAGAGCTTCAAACTCTTCGAGACGAGATCAAAACGTTGGCAGGCCAGATAAACAGGAAGCTGAAGAGTGGGTGCTTTAAAAGTGGAAGCTTCCCCACCCCCAGCTTTTCCAATGTTGACTCTTTTTGGAACATTTGTCTCTGCAGGTATTCAGCCTAAAAAGGGAGACGATGACGACAATTATATTCCAATCAACGTTCGGATGCAGCGCACTCAGGTAACGCATTAACAGGGTAAATAAACAGAAACATGCATGTTAAAATGCAATGACGGGAAACTTTTTTTAAGGTCAGTTAAGATCAAATTGACTTAAATATGCATGGAAACAGCAACCTGAACAGACGGCTTTGTAAACATTATTCTTCCACTTCTATCAATTTGGTTTGATGCTAACCTGACTCCGCCAGATGGATTTGCTCCGCATATCCATCTGGAAACCTTCCGTTGAAGAAATTTTGGGAAGGGGCGAAAATACTGGTTAGCTGATTGGCCTATGTTGGTGATAGACGGGCCAAATAAACCAATCAGATCAACGGAGCATATGACGTACTAACAGGGCGACGACGAAAACACAACCACAAGCCAGGCTACTCTTGCCGAAACCAGTCGGGAGAAGAGCAAAAACATCTTTTCCTCTGAGAAAAGCCTCCAGAGCAGTGTTTTGCTCTTCTTTCAGTGAAGAAATACTCTGTAATTCCGATAAAACTTGCTCGATAGCCACGCTAACGCTAGTTTCATCGGCTGAAGCCGCCATGTTCTTTAGACTGAACTGTCGCGCTTCTCGTTGCGTCACACCTCAACCCGCCTCAAAGCCAACGCTGATTGGACGTTCGTTTGGTGAACGGCTCCAAATTTTCTTTAACGGAGAGTCTCAAGACTGATCTGCGAGTGAAACTTTGAAAGCTCGCGAGATCAGGATGGTCTCACGAGGCTAGTTTGATGCAGCACCATAAGCAAGCTCCCTCTCCTAATATTTAACTCAGACTCTGACCACGATTTCTACATTTTTGATAAAAAAAAAAAAGGATGATTGAACCACTAAAAGAAATTTCCACTTTTTCCTTCCTTGAAATATCAGAAGAGTAAATGGCCTATTGTTATTTACGCTCCAAAATGGAGACTTTTTGCCCAGAAAAATCAGATACAAATTTTCATTTCTAGACTAAATGTCTTAAATAAATAATTAGTAATCCGACTTTTTTTGGATGCAGCTTTATGACTGAATTAGACTAAGTTCATATGATATTATGGCTGCTTTGTTTCACTGATTTCACCCTAAAACCTTCCTCCTTTCAGCACGCTGTCCTGTCCAAGGAGTTTGTGGTTCTGATGGGCCACTGTAACACCATCCAGGCGCAGTACAGAGACCGGAACGTGGAGCGAATACAGCGGCAGCTGAAGATCAGTGAGTAAAACAAGCTGCTTTTCCTTTCTTTTTTCGTTTCTCTTGTGTCTGTGGTTTTCAAAAAAAAAAAAAACAGTGACCGATCACTTCCTCTCTGGACGTTTCTCGATTCTTTCCTTTTTGGGCTCAACAGCTACAACCTGCCGACATTTATTCAAGCTACAGAAAGGGAATTGAAACTAGGTAGATGAAGTAAATACACCATTGTCTTTTTAAACCACAAATATTTTAATTCTCTTTTTGTTTTTTAAAGGGACACGTCATTTGTGAGGTTGAAAGTGCTGCTGGTGACATTTCGTAACTTCCTCAGATGATGCAACAATCTTAGTTTCTGTTTTTCGTTTTACTCATCTGGACTTTGTTTCTGGGAATTTAAGATATTTCGGATGCAGAAATCAAAGCTCTTCCTCATTAATTGGCTTTGTTGTGGGGAGTGGTGGACCAGTGGGAAGAAAAGGTTCTGAGTTCAAATCCCACACACTATCACAGTCTGCCACCCTGGCTCCCTGAGCAAGACCTGTAACCCCAGACTGCTCCCTGGGCGCCGCACAGTGGCAGCACTACTCCCCAAAGGGATGGTTAAATGCAGAGAGGGAATTTCCCCACTGTAGGAAAATAAAGGGATTTACATTTTACATTTACACAGGGTTTCCACAGGTCATTAAGTTATTAAATTATTAGTTTTAAATGAAGGCCTTAATTGTCATTAAAATTAATTAAATGTGATTATTGTGGCATCTAAAATGCTTTATTTAAAATGAAAGAAACTTCTATAAAAACATTTTCGTCAGATATATTGCGGTATATTTGCGTTGAACTGCTTCTGGTTGATTGTAGAGCCACATCTTTGGAAAAGAAGCTCGAGGCGGAGAAAAAGCTAGAGATTAAGAAAATGCAAAAAAAGTGGCTTGAAAAGGAGGAATTCGGAACATAGATGCAGCCCGTCGACGGTAAAAATGACAAAAGATTTTGCCGTCTTTATATGATAGTCATGGGTACTTTTTGGCATTAAAATTATTTCTAAGAGCATTAAAAAGCATTAAATTAGAGTTACTCATTCCGTTATAAACCCAATTTAGTTAGGCGAAGAAGGATCTTATAATTAAATAAGAAATGTAATTGATGCATCTATAGTCGAAGGGTTGTCAGACTTTCCTTGCTGTTTTTAAATAAGCAAAATTTGACATATTCCCCGTCATTTTAAACAGTCTGAGACGGACGTCTGCGACCTGCCCGGGGCGTTAACGGGCACGACTCTGATTTAAAAAGTTTCAGAGGTTCTTTTAGGCTCAGCGGGTTTTACTGTTTATATAAACTCTGATGTTCTGATTTCAGCTGGCACCAATGTGACAGATGAAGAGCTGGACGCCATGCTGGAGAGTGGCCAGACGGATGTTTTCACACAGAATGTGAGTCCATAGGAGGGGAAATGGGAGCTCGGTGGTGGAAATGACATATTAGCTGCCGTCTGTTAAGAGCCTCGGGTTGACTGGTTTGATTTGTTGTTGGCTCTTTAATTGCTTAAACTGGACACCAGATTTGGTAAGACGTTGACATTTAGACCAGATTGTCTTTAAATATTCACATCCTGAGCTTTTTTACCCCATTAAAGCAGTACTCCTGTGTTTTGTTTTATTTTATTTTTTTAGAGGGATTTAATTTGACAGACCAAAACAAAGTGACTCAAAAATGAGAATTGTTTGGAAAATTGTGGATTTTCAAAGTTGTGTTTCAAAAAACTCTGAAAAACGTCCATGCCCTTTTAGAAAAAATCTGTTCTAGCAGATTGAAAGTTGTATTTAGGTCTGAGCTTTGACTAAACCATCCTGCCACATGGATATCCCTCCACCGTAACCTTGACATCAAGCTCTGGCTTTGTGTCGTTGGTCTCCTGCTGGATGATGAACCTTCACCCGTCTTTCTCTGCCCCATACAGCTTTAACTTCCCGCATTTAGCTCCACCCATCAACTCTAACTGACTATCCTGTTAAAATGAGGCCATAATAGCCAAATTTGTTTTGCGTTTATTTCCGCCATGTTTACTAGAATGGGGCAGCACTAGTCTCCATGTTGGTATTTCTCTATTGTTCAGAGCATCAGAGCAAATACCAGTATCAGACTTTTTAGATTCATATTTGCGTATAGTCTAAAATCTGCCTCTATTTTTTTTTAGATCAAAGTTTTGCATTACTTTGGGTTGGTCAGTCATATTTAAATCTAATAAAAAGTCCATTAGTGGTTGTTTAGTGGTTTAGTTTACTTTTTGTAGGGTTGAAAGGATCCATTTCATAAAACTGAGAATTCAACAGCAAATGTCTGTGATTTCCAGATCCTGATCGATGCCAAAGCCACAAAGCAGGCTCTGAATGAGATCGAGTCCAGACACGATGAGATCCTGAAGCTGGAGAAGAGCATCACGGAACTGCATGAAATGTTCCAGTACCTCGCCATGGAGGTGGAGGCCCAGGTACAGCCTCGCCGCCGTAAAGCCTCCATTCTGCAACTTCTAAAGCAGGATTGGTTCTGATGCTTTTCTCGTCCTCAGGGGGAGATGGTGGACCGGATTGAAAATAACATCAATCAGTCTGTTAACTATGTGGAGAAAGCAAAGAAAAACACAGAGCAGGCAGTCACATATCAGAACAGAGCCCGCAAGGTAAAACTGTACTATTTTCAACACAACTCATTTCTAATCAAAAAGAAAAACAAAAAAAATCCTTTTATCTTTCCCTTAAATCTAAAAAAATATATATATATATATTTCTGCACTATTTCTATACATCTGGTCACAGAATCATTATTTCACCATCGAAGTAAAGACATGATGCTTCAACAGTTTCTGTTCAGCCTGCAATAAAGACGCATCGAGTGTCTCACCCAGAAACCTGGTTCATAAAGCTTAAATGGGTGCATCTAAAGAAAAACAAATATTGTCAAATCCTTATGTTTAAGTAATTAAGCTATTTTTACAATTATGACTTCATAAAATAAGCTTATCGTTTAATAAAAGAATATAGAATTAATACGTCCAGAATGCTGACTTAAATGTATCAGACACACTTTTAAATTGAGGCGTATAAAAGTATGTAAATGAAAATTTAAGTGAAAGGAAGAAGTGTGAAAATGTGGCACAGTGGTCCAAATTCCCCTTTTTCATGAAGGTGAAGATTGCATTTGGAAATAAATATCGCCTGGTGAAGGGGAAAGACTATAAAAGTATATTGTTGAAAAGTTGAGTGGAGGGAAAAGGAGGAGGAAGAGCAAAAACAGCAGCCTTAAAGGGGAACACACAGGTTTTTTTTTTGCATTGGCCCCTTGATAAATTATGAACAGTTTAGTTTGTGCCTTCAACTCATTGCCCATAGGTAGACGTTAACGGAACATCTTCAGAACAGCTCCAAATGACAAAAAACTACTATGGGCGAGTAGAACAGGATGTAATAACGTAAAATCAAGGGCCCAATGTAAAATAAAAGTGTTCCCCTTTAAGAAGCAGCAAAACACAGCTTAGGAAAAAAATGCTGCAGCTCTTTAATGCCGCTATTCATCCAAACGGAAGATCCTATACTGTGCATGCACATATTTCAATTCAGCCCATGTCTCTATACATAAAAATGTTTTTTGCAGTTTTTACACAAATTTAAAGGTGTTGTCGTAAGAGAAAAAGTGTGTATAAAGTGTATGAGAAGAAAAGAAAGACCTCAGGAGAGGCAGATATATCCCAGAATGCTTGGCGTGGAGAGATCTCGTCAAGCATTATGGGATTTACTGTCACAGAGGCTACCCGACAACAGCGACTAACAAAGATGCCGCAAGCACCGTGCGGTGGAGGCGGAGTTACGTGACCAATGGGGAACAAAAAGCAATGATCATCTGTTCAGTCAGTTAACTGAGTTCACTATAAACCCACTATATATGGATGAGATGATGGATGAGTTGCAATCTTTTTTTCAGTGTAGGTTTTCCCTCTTGGCAGCGGGTACAGGGTTGTGCAGGTGCATTTTTTTTTTTAAGTGTAGAGAGCTGGTCTTTTAAAAAATTCCTCAAATCCTCCACTATACCTTTAATGTTATAGTGGAGGATAAACCCTCAAACTCAATGCTATTTCTGACATTTTGAATTGAAAAAGGTTCCTGGATAGAAAGCAAAACGTCTTCAAACTTGGAAACAAATACCAGTGGATTGTTGTTTTTTTTTTTTTGGAATGAACCTGGATGACTGAGAACCTTCACCAGTATAAAGGAGGATGTTTTTTTTCCGGGCGGATCATCAAAAACATGGACCTCCTAATTGTTAATCATTCTGGTGATATGTTTATGTAAGGCCGTCCTCCGTGCTCGGCCCCATTTTCCCTTACCGGTGGTATGACATAGTGGAAAAATTGCTAATTTTTTTTTGAAAAGTAAGCTTGTAGGATCAATGCAAAAAGCTAATTTTAAACGAAGCGTGCACAAACCCATTTCACCTCGTGCACGCTCTGGCAGTGAAGAGGGTGAATCTTTACAAAAAATCACATAAATCCTCCACTATACCTTTAATCCTGTTTTATCTTCATTTTCAGTCGTCTCAATGTTGTATTTTTCTCTCCCTTCTGCAGAAAAAGATTTGGATTGCCATCTGTTGTGCCATCCTTCTCCTCATCATAGTCATTGCAGTGGTCACCACTTTTGTGGGTTGACACCAAGCACAAATGTATCTACATCAAGCTGACAGGAAGAACGGGTGAATTTGGTCTGCGTAGATTTCCCTCCTCCATCCTAGTCTTCCTGTAAACACAGATTTTCATCTTCAAGAAGAGATGTGCCCCTAAGTGCTGCAGTTTTTGACAGTCTCTGTTCCACAAATCAGAGGCTGGCGTCACTGTTACTTCAGCTGCTCCTCCGTCATGCAGAAGAAAAGCAAAAGGAGGAACAATAAACGAGCTTGAGCAAGGCACGCTGCAGTATTTAAACCCTGACACTGATTATTCTGTTCTCAGGGAAAAAAAAAACAATAACTGTTGATTCTTGTTACTCCTCTGCATGAAATTAGAGACCTTAAAGAACAATTTTTTTTAGCCTTACAGGAAAGACTAATAACTGTACATAATGTAATGTTGATGATTTACAGATGTTTTTGTTTCTTTTAACTTGATAATTTTTTTTCAAACTGCCTTCATGTAACAATTGTAAATATGTTGTGGTCCCTGACACAAAGCAGCATTTGTAACACTAGTAAAAAGCTTGTATTTATAATTTGAACATAAAAAAAAACAATCGCTAATTAGAAAAGCCTTTAAAATGGTGCCTTCTCCTTTATATCAACCTGGGAACATTGTGTTTTTGCACCAATGCTGTTAAAAAGGGATGAAGTTGCTTTAAATCGCGTGTTGTAACATGGTTTGCCTCACAGCTGTACTTCTGTTAACCTTTTCCAGTCTGTCCACGACATGAGAAACCACTTTATTTATACAGATCTGTAACTAACTGCTTTAATTTTACATAAAGGAAATGATCTCCATTGTACTCTTTGTTACTGAAAATGTTTCCCAAAAAGAAAAATTGCTCTCTGTAAGATACGAAAGAGTCATGTCGCCTTTTCCCCCTCCCATTCAGCTGAATAGCAACAAGTAGGGGAGGGGCAGCACTGTGGTGACCTTTCAGGCGAAAAGCGGGGGGAAAGAATATTTCTGCACTGCCATCAAGAACAGATTCTGTTTAATATGACATCTGTTTTTAAATAAAGTTATTCTATTCAGAATTTTTCCCCTTTTTCACATTCAAAAAAACGCACAAAATCATTTTTGGTCTTTTTATTCAACTGCAATTGTCATTTTCAAGTAAAACAATGTGGAATAACAAGGGATCAAAGGAATGCAACAGATAAAGAGACGAACCGAAAGTAAGACCATCACCAGGAATCATCCGTTCCCAACAAATATCAAATTAAATTCCTCTGTCGTCTGGAGCTGTACCGCTCATATTCACACGCATTTTCTCTCCAATGAACTGGGAGGGAGGGGGGGGTATAGTGAGATTTGGGGAGAATAAACCTGCTAGCACTGGTGATGCACTGGATACTGATTGTATATTTCGTGTTTACGAATGAGAATCTGGACCCCTCCACATCAGGCGCTTCCATGTGGCAATCTGAGGTCAGACACCGTCAGGACGAACAGGAACTCATCACAAAACGTTCACCTGCCCCGATTATTCGGTATAAATACAAGACTTAGCGTTAACTGTTCAACCAGGACGTCATCCAGCTGTAGATACTGCGATATTAAAGACCGATAAACCCAGTTCGTGTTAAAACATCAAAACAATGAAAACGAATCAATATCTTCTAAATGTGCAAATGAATCCTTTGAACAGAACTGTCTAGGTGGGGGGGGGGATAATCCAGCGCTCTGACAGACCTGCTTTCTTCCTAAAAACCCTTGAAGAAATCATAGAAATAGGCATAACTTGTTAAAAGAGACACAAATCGGGACAGCTGACTTGCAGAAGTTGTCAAACTGCCAAAGTTTGGATAAATGGATCATTTATAGGTTTAAATTATGGGAGGAAAAAAAAAAAATTCCACCCCCCCAGACAGGATGCTGTAATACCCCAGCTCTGGGTTCCAGTCTTTAATAACTACAGTACTTTTAAGTGTTTATTTTGCACCTTTGTCCCTGGAGGCAAATGAATCCACTCCACCTCCTCCATCGGTCCAGCATCCCTGAATCCCCCCCCACCCCTCAATGAGGGGTGACTCTGTTCTGAAAGGGAGGCAGGGAGGGGTCTGCTTTGTGCAGCACTTGCCCCTCCCCCATGCAGCAGCAGCAGCAGCAGGTCAGGAGGTGGTGACATGTTCTGGTTCCTGCTTGAGCTTCTTTTTGAAATCTTTGGCACTCTGGTCATGTCTTGTTGCGCTGTTGGTTGGAGGAGGAGCGGGTGCTTGCAGCCGGGGAGCGCGCCTGCACGGCTGCCAGCGCTGCAACGCTCCGCAGGACTCTGTCCGGCATCCCCTCTGCTCCCGGGCTGTTGGTAACGTCCTGCGAGGGTTTGTGGGACCTCCTGCTGTCCTTTCGGTCCCTCTGCCTATCCTTCCTGTTACCGCCGCCCTTTGATCGCTCAGGGCTGCGGTCTCTGTCGCGCTCGCTCCCTGACGAGGCGGCCCGGGAACCTCTGTGCTCCGTGTTCTGTGAGCTGATGCTGCGGGTGCGCTGGCTGCTGTTGCTGCTACTTCGACTCCGGCTGCTGCGCCCCCCGCAGTCACCCTCACCGTCGCTGCTCATGCTGCTGCAGGCGCTGTGGCCTTCCCCTTCTTTTCCTCTTAGCGACTTCTTGCTCTCCTTCTCTTCAGGTTTTGGCCTCTTATATTCCACCTCCAGTGGCGGAACCAGCTGACCGGGGCACTGGCGTGTCGAGCGGGATGCAGGGTGGCCTGTCTGATCCGGGGTTGAAAGTTTCCCACTTTTGTTCTTGTTGGGATTGACAGAGTTACACTGAGGAGAGGCCTGGACCACTTTGGGCTTCTGGTTGTTGTCAGTAGAGGAAGCAGTTTTGGACCCTGAGTCTTTCCGTGTCGTGTGACCAGGGGTGTCCACCCTGCCTTTCATGGCCAGAAGCTTGGCAGCTGCGTTCAGAGCAGAGCACCGTTTCCCAAGAACCTCTGGCTCAGGCGGTAGCAAGGGAGCGCTGTTGGTCTTTCCTTTGCTGTCCTGTGACGGCTGGGATCCTGCAGACTTCCTGGTGATTCTGACGGAAGACGTGTCGCTTCCCGATTCGCCCCCGGTGGATGCGGTGGTGTTATTCGATGACTTTCTTTCAGAACTGCGTGCAGCTTTCACATCTTTCCTGTCCTTGGTTCCCACTTCCTTTTCCTGATCCTGTAGCTGGCGCTTAGCGGAGCGCGTCAGCCGCTTTCTACTCTCACTGCTGTCAGAATCGGAGGAGGAAGAGGGAGACCTGGAACGTCTCCTGCGAGAGGCAGGAGTTCCTGCTTCCCTCTTGGTCTCTTCTTCATCCTTCTCCTCAGAAGTTTCCGTTCGCCTTCTCTTGGAAGGATTCCGGTTCTCGTAGGTCTTCTTGTGGTGAGCATGCCGAGTGAGGGTCGATGAGGAGCTCCCAGATGAAGGCGAAGAGGAGCGAACAGATTCCTGGCTGCTCTCCCGGCTTATAGGCCGTTTCTTTTTGGAAAGTTTCTGGTCTTCTGCTTCTTTCTCAGCCTTTTCTTTCTGAGGAGCAGTTTTGGCTACTTCTTCTTTTTCCTTGCCTGAGTCAGAGGAGGTTTCCACCTTTCTCCTTTTAGGCAGTGACCGGCAGATGTCCTCCTCCTTAATGGATTCCGGTTCTTTCTTTCCAGATCCCGGTTCTTCCTTGCTGGATCCCATTTCTTCCTTGCTGGATCCCGGTTCTTCCTTGCTGGATCCCGGTTCTTCCTTGCTGGATCCCGGTTCTTCCTTGCTGGATCCCGGTTCTTCCTTGCTGGATCCCGGTTGTTCCGTCAATCCATCCGATACCATTTCTGAGTCTTTAGTTTTCTTTATTTTGTCGGTTTTGGGTTGATCAGCGGTGGCATTCTCTGTAGGGATCGTTGCAGGAGCGTTTGTGGACTGTTCTATCCCCGGGGAGATGATTGCTGTGGTTTGGTTGGTTGAGAGCGAAGGAGAGGAAACAAAGGCTGCTGTTGAAGCTGCTTCTATGTCTGCGACAGCTTTTTCTGCGTCGACAGTTTCCTCAGCAGCTGAGGAAATAGAAGTGCTGATTTCCTCCGTTGAAGTTTTTGCAGATGTATTGGGCCCAGCAGCTGCTTCATTAGAGGTTTCTGGGGATGGGTTCGCCTCGGTGGGGGTTGTAGCTGGGGAAGCTGCAGAGGTTTCTTCACACGGTTCTGGCTCTGGTTCTATTGGAGCCGTTTCCGTCGGCGCAGGTGGTGTTGAAGCCGACTGCATCAGAACCGAAGTCACTTCAGTATTTGCTGCTGGAGTCTCGTCTTCAGCAGGAGAAACTGTTTCTGAAATCTTTTCAGGTGTGGTTGGGGGTGAGTTTGGTGTGTCCGTTTTCTCCGTTTCTTCTTGAGCATTGCCGTCTGATTGGTTGGCTGATTCCGTCTCAGTAACCTCTTCACGTGGAGCTGATGTCACGGTCACTTCTGTAGTAGCAGGAGTGTTTTCCAGGAGGTCCTGTGGAGCAGCAGCATCTGTGTTCAATTTGTCCGTAATGCCATGCTCCGATAAAGGTTGAGCTGTTGCTGTGGCAGGTGGGGGGCTAGCTTTCCATGTTTCATCATTAGCATTAGCTGGGGGTTCAGCAGAGTCCGGTTCTGTGGATTCCATAGTTGCAGCAATAAGGGAGGAGTTTGGTTCTGAAGCAGCTGTAGAAACATCTGCTGTTGGCACCACAGAGGGAGGAGTTGCTGAGGAGTGGCTTGTGGTCTCTGGCATGGAGACCACAGGGGATGGGGGGTGACTCTGACCTGAAGCAGGCAGGGCGACAGGTTGAGCTGCAGTCTGACTGGAAGCAGAGTCTGACATGGACGCCTCAGCAGGAGGCGGAGCTAAGTCTGAAGCTTCTGGTGTTTCCGTGGCTCCTGGCTCAGACTCAGAGGCTGTATCTGCAGTGGGGGTCTGTGGGGGGATTCTGGTTTCAGTTTTTGTTTCATTGGGGCTCTGTGCTTCACAAACAGCCTCTGATTTAGCTGTGGAGTCTTTTCGGGGACGACCCCTCTTTCGTTTTGGGGACAGAGGTGGGCTCCTGCCTTCGCTAGGGGAGGAAGGAAGTGAAGGAACCGCTCTAGTTTCAGGCTCAGGTAAAGCAGTGGGGGTCTTAGGGGGGCGGCCCCTCTTTCTTTTAAAAGGCGTCACGAGGCAGTTCATGCTGGACTGAGGCTCCGGTTTCTTGGTCTGGGATGTTCCTCTTCCTCGGCCATGAAGCTGCTGCTGCTGCTGCTCGCCCAGCTGAGCCGCCATGCGGGATTCGGTTTCCAGTCTACGTCGTACCGGAAGGTTTCTTAGCACTGGCATGTCAGGAGACAGGTGTGGTGGTGAGTAGGGAGGGTAGCCTCTGACAGGCTGAGGATGAACAGTCAGACTTTGGCCTGAGTCGCCATCCTGAGGGGATTGGTCTACGGTCAGTTTAGTCTTTTCTTCGGGGCTCTGCGATGTATCGTCTTGGCTTGGTTCCTCTGTAAATCCAGCGCTGTGCTCCTCTGCAGTCACCTCCTCTGAGGAGCCCCCAGCTTCACTTCCTCTGCGTCTCCTCCTTCGTGGCTCCTTCTCCTCCACCACGGTGACAAGCCTTCCTGGAAGCTTTCGCAGGACTTTGGCTGACGGGGAATCGTCCACCAGACCCCGGAGGACCTCTCCATCGGCTGTCTGACGCTTGCGAGGCGACCTGGAGCTGGTGGAGGGAGGAGACATGGGCCCTTCATCATCTTTGGTTAGATGTTCTGCTCCAAAGCTGGAATCTAAAGAAGACTCAGAGATTCTCCTTTCTTTCTCCTCTTCAGCTGCTTTGGAGGATTTGGAGTCCGTCTGTCCGGCACACTGCTGCTTTGCTGCCGGAGGAGAACTGGTGGAGGGGGAAGGCACTGGACTGGGATGGGAACGGCTTAGCTGAGTCCTTGTTTTCGCAGCCTGGAGGTCTCTGGCTGGAGAAGAGGCTTTTAAATGCCTGGCTGATGTGGGGGTTTTATTAGGGGTGGGCTCTTTGGCAGCTCCTCTTCCTCTTGGACCGCTGCGGAGTTTTTCAGGCGCCTCTCTGGACGTCTGTGGCTCAGGTTCAGTTTCAGGCGAAGCTCCGCGAAGTCGGCCGCTGGTCCTCGTCGAGGTGAGACTCCGGTCCTTGGGTTTACGTCCACGGCGGGGAGGAGTCTGCTGAGCGGGTTCAGAAGCTGGTGTTGACAGGAAGTCATCGTCATCATCGTCGGATGAATGGTGGAGCATCAGTCCCTCCTCCTTGGCTTGATCCAGGCCCTTTCTGGCAGCTTCCACCTGCTCCTAAAGCACAAGAGCAGAATTCAGAGCGTTTACTTTTTTTATTATGTTAAGTATTCAATAGGAACAGCACTCTGAGTCGTTCTTATTTCCCAGGTAACCTTTAGAAAATAACTATATGGCAGGGGCCTGCCATTTAAAAAAATACAAATAACATTTTTAAATCTTTTTCATGAAATTTTGCTGTTTTAAAATATAGCCTCATCTATATTATTTAGGGGTGTAAAAAATAATCGTTTTGTATCGATGCATCGATCAAACAGCCGACGATCCGATGCATCGACACGTCCGCAAGAGAATCGATTCATGTATTTTTTTCCTCCGGTCTACTTTTATCCATTTGCTCCTGGACGTAATTCTCCCTCCCATCCTGCGGTGGCGCTAAACCTATTTTGCCCTCCTACCTCGCTTCCTGGTAATACACTTACAGCAGTGTGTTGCAGTAAGCTTGACACAGACATTTTTGATTTATGCTCAATATTGAAGCGTGGTCTGTGCTACAAGCTGTGGGTCTAGATACGGCCGAGGCGGTGAGGAAGTGGGGGCGAGTTTAGTCCGACGACGGAGGGACATGAGGGCCAAAAAGAGTGGAGATCCAGGTGGAAAAAGGGTCCCAGCGTTCTTGCGCACCTCGCTCTTCTAGCGGGTCAAACTTCACTAGCTTTCCGCAATTTCGGTCATAAAAACAGAACAAGCCGGCCTCCTGTCTGCAGCACTGTCTGAGGTCAGCTGCAATTTGTGCAGCGGAGCGTCTGTGGAGAGGGCGGGGACGTCTGGAGCCGAGGTATTGCATTGCACTCATTGCACTGATTTTGTCCAGTATTTTCTGATGCAAGGCCTTTAAGAATCTATAATGCAGGGGCATTATTATTTTTCAGTGAATGAGGTTTTAATAGGAATAGGTGGAGTGCAACTTTTCTACTTCTTTTATTTGCTGTTGTTTCTCAAAAAAAATAAAATAAAAAATGCATAACGATATTACAGCTTTCATTGATTTATTTCAAATTTGAAACCTTGTCTAGCCTGTAAGGTGTAAAAAAACAAAACAAAAAAAAAACAATTAATCGAATCGTATCGTGGTGTATTCTTGAGTATTGAAAATAATCGAATCATTGGATTCAGGAAATCGTTACGAAATCGAATCGCCATGATGGATGTGATTTACACCCCTAATATTATTGTCATTGAACTTCTTTCAATTGCAGGGAAAAAAAAAAAGATTTGTACCCTAAGTTTTGGAGGAAACCTAAGCCTCTGGTTTGTCACTGCTGTGAATTTCCAGCACTGATCGTAGAAATGGCAGAGATGAAAATAAAAAGTCCCTACAAAGTTGGTAAGACCTCTCAAAGGTAGTCTGCTTGGAGTCAGTTCCCAGTATTATAGATGTAATAAATTAATCCTTTCAAGCATCTTTGGGCATAAATATTTGTTGATATTTTCAGGTCAGATCTGTATGAAAGGTTTTGTGATTTTGTGTTGGAATCTAAAGTGAAAGGTTACCTCAGCTTGCTTCAGCTCCTCCTTGCAGACGTCTTCCAGAGAAGCTTCCAGGAAGTTCATGGCGTATCGTTCGATAGGAGTGAGCTGTGGACAGGCAGATGTGAGAGGAAAGCCAGATGGTTTAGTTTCATCCAACAGGACATGATGTTCAGGTGAAAACAGAGGATCATCCCAGAACTGCTTCCTCAGTCACCTGTTCCACCAGAGCAGCAATTTCCTGCTCCGCCTTGGAGAGCTCCTCCACCTCCTCCTGTTCCCCTCCGTCGTCCAGTGGGATGTTCTCGTTGAACTCTGCCAGCTCCGCCACCTGCTCTGCTTTGGCCTGAGAGGCGGCCACGATGTCCTCCTCATCCTCGGCTCGACACAAAGCCTAGATCGTTGATGAAATAACAGGATGAGTCGAGCAGAGTCAGATAAAGCTGGGAGGACGGCGAGCTAAAGCTTGTTGAGTCTCTAACCTGCTCCAGAATGGTGGTGCTCTGTTTGTTGACGCCTTCCTCTTCCTCCGCCTGAGGCACAGACAGCTCCAAGGCCGCCTCCCTCTTCTCTCCATCGTTGACGTCAAACAGCTCCCTGATGGTTTGCTAAAAGGAAGAAAATGAGAACAATTAGAAACAAATCCAAGAATGTAATAAAATCCAACAGAAGGACAGGTGTTAGTACCTCTTTGAAGAAAGCAGTGGTGAAGTTTCCTCCCTCGATGGCCATATCTCCCAGCATCCTCTTCTGGTTGGCCTTCTTTAAAATGTTTTCCTCGACTGTTCGCTCACTGATTAGTCTGAATAGCAAAGGAATTAAAACTCTTAGAATCAGTGTGGTAGTAATGAAGCTTCTTTCTGTTCTTCCTAAACATAGCGAGCAAGAAGCTGAACCGACTGTCCTAATAAAAAACTACAGAACACAAAACAACTGCATTCCAACATCCATTCCCATTTTACCCGATTCTGTTAGACCACAGCTCTCTAACCTCCAAAACTGCAACTGACTCCTTGGAACCTCGACTCCTTGGAATCCCCTATTCTAAATAGTGCCTTAAAATTATATATATATATACACATATAAATAAAAACAACTAATGACTGACTCCTTTTTATATAAATATAAAAATAAAAACTACTAATGAAGCATAATATCAAATATCAACCTTATAAAGAATTTTGATTGAATTTTTATGAAAAACGACATTAAAAGAATGTTTATAGATTTATTTTCCTTGTCATTAACCTGGAAATAAAATGCTTCTTTTTTATTCCAGTAATTTAGTTTTCCTTAAAGCTAAAAATGTAACAGAAATTTAACAGAAACGGTTTGTTTTAGTGAAAGGTTATATAACATTCTACGCTACATTAATTTATAGGGACTTGATGGATTTAAAAGGAAGCAGATTCCTGGGTTAGATATATATATTAGATATATATATTATATATGTGTCAGACCATCGTACTGCCTCTTAACCTTCCAAAACTGCTTAATTTATCGTCTAAATAAATTAGAATTAGTTAAGATGAAAAACTCAAAATATGGCTGAATTCTGAATTTTATTTTTAATATCCACCCACCCACAAATTCAGGCATTGGTAAATTAAAACCCAATTGAATGCAACTAATATGAGATGTTCAGTGATATAAATCACCCTTTTTTATATGACTGGTGTCATGAAGACTGAAGAATGTGTCAAATTTCTACTATATATTTACAGTAATGGCAATAATAAAGCCCTTTCAACATTTGGCGGGCTGTGTGCTTACAAGTAGGGATGTTACTATGTAGGGGCAGTGATAGCATTGCCAGTCCAGGGACTGACTGCAGTTCTACTGTAAGGTGCCTTGGTCAATGTCAATGACCGTACCTGACATGTAACAACCATACCATGCATACTGCATTAGATTAATAGACTATATTAATTAGGCTATGTATGCTTCCAAAAAATAAATATGTAAATTCACCATACCCCCTAGACTACTAGTCTCAGCTATATATTTGAATTTGTAAACATTGTGGAGCCCTGATGATAAGCAGCAGAGACAGCATGTCTGTGAGTCCAAGTAAACACTATAAGCATTCAAATGGCCTCACCAGGGAAAAAAAAAACCCAAAACATTTTAGACCTAATCAGAAAAAGTACAAGTCTGTTCACCTAAAGAAAGGAAGTGAACAATAGATACTGTCTCTATCTGATATATCTGGAGAATTCTTAAGATGGAAATTATAACAATCATTAAATGTGCTTAGTTATGCAGACAGGGTATTGCAGCCTTTTTTTTAATTGTCTTCAGCAGATTATTTTCTTTTTGGTTGAGTAGTTATAGTACAGGAGTTACTGAAAAATTTTTATTCAGCATAGAATTGTTTTCTTTCTGGCTCTCTGCGGACAAACTTGTTGACAGACAGTAGCTTTCAGATGCTCCACCTGTAGATGTGGACATCTCTGGTTTGGCCAATGCGGTGACAGCGGTCCTGCGCCTGAGCATCCATGGTAGGATTCCAGTCGCTGTCGTAGAAAACCACAGTGTCAGCCCCCGTCAGATTGACCCCGACGCCTCCGCTGCGCGTCGACAAAATGAAGCAGAAGATGCGCCGGTCTGCGTTGAAACGCTCCATGAGGGCCTGCAGAGGAAAGTGCGCAAACCGTGAGCATCCGAAATGTAACATTTATTCATTAGATAAATAGAAGTCATAGTTCATCAACTTTATTTGCTTAATGGCAACGATGCTTCCAGCCATATTAAGGCGCATAACAGGAACATCTGGGAAGACGGCGACAGCAGGAACAGCGGATTGTCATGTGAGTAAAAGTTCACTACATCAGAGCGATTAAAAAAAAAAAAAAAAAAACCTTTCCATCTCCCATTTTGCACGTCAACCCTTTTTAACAAGAGCAATATACCAACTCAAGCAAACGTAAAAACTTTTTGCGAATTTAAGGGAGTTTATTTAAATTTTGCCGTTTCCATCAGGCTTCTCTGATGCGATACTGCAAATTGGAAAAAACTGATGGAAACGCACCAGGTTTTGCTTTCGTTATTTCCAAGCAGAGATTCGGACAAACCTGTCTCTGCTCTACGCGGGTGCTGCCATCCAGGCGCAGGTAGATGTGTCCGTGGTAGTTGAGGAACTGCTCCAGCACGTCCAACATACGCGTCATCTGAGTGAAGATCAGCACGCGGTGGCCTCCTGACTTCAGCTTTCGCAGCAGAGTGTGGAGAGTCTGAAGCTTACCTGCAGATGATAAAACACATGAAATGGTTGTGAAAACATTTTCTAGGCTCCGAATACGGTCTCAGGGTAACATGACCTTATAAGAATAAAAACGTCCTTTCCATGAATCATCTGTGTTTATTTATAGATGTATTGAAAGTAGATTGCTTTTCCCAGTATGAACCGCTTCTCTAACTCACCGCAGTCATACTGTATGAGCCTCAGGTCAGGAAACTGAGTCCTCATGTTGCAGTGGATGCGGTGGAGGCTGCGAGTTAGCGGAGCGACTTGAGCCGACAGTGTGGAGGAGAACACTGCCTGTTTGTGGCTCAGAGATGGAGGAGGGTGGCAGCAGTGCATGGTGATCAGAGGCGCTTCCACAGGAGGAATCACAAACACAAACCTAAGCATAGAAGAATAAAGAAATAAAGAAAAGTTATGAATTTTCAAACCTATCTCCTTAAAGTACCTTCATGTGTCTGTTTCTCAAATGTCTACCTGTCGATTATATCACTGAGGAGCTCCACCCTCCTGTCAGGGCTGTAGATGGCATCCCTAAGAGCAGTGCTCTGAAACCAGTAGTCCTGCTGGTCCTGCTGCTGTGCATACACACAGCTGCTGTGGCCCGAGCGGCTCCACTCCCCCTCCACTTTCAGAGCAGCCGGAGAGGGACGAGGGCCAGGGAGGAAAGTCAGGAAGTCTAAGACCTCACGGCCGTACATGGGCGTTTCCCCGCAGCGGCGCTCATTGACCCGGAAGATCAAGTCCAGCCTGCTGTCTCGCTGCTGTTTGATCTCATCAGCCAACCACGACTGTTAAATCACAGAAATCCAAATCAATGCAAGCAGCAATTTAACGAAAAACCATCTCAACAGACCAGGCTAGAAGTTCTCTTTAGCTACACGCACAATGTTTAAATCGGTGCGAGAAAGACGACATCAACAGAAAAGGCTCACCACATAAAAAGGAGAGCGTAGGGGTGGACGAGGTGCTCTCCTGCGTGGGGGGCGGTTCTGTGCGCTCCCACTGGGCTTTGGCTTGCTGGTAGCTGCTGGCTGGCTGCTGCCGTCTCGCGGGGCTGTCGAGGGTTTAGCAGCTGGTGAGGCAGCAACCTGAGGTGGAGCTAAGAGGAGGAAAAAAGGAAAATCATCTCTTCTGTAGAGAATAAATCGGGTTTAAGATGTGATGACACCTTCACCACCTGCATGTCAAACTGTTTCGCTTGTTCTGATTGCAAAACTAAAACCTTCCAAAGATTTTAGTGGGATTTCTTTACTGCAGTTACACCTGAGAGGCTTTCAGGGAGTCTGTAAGAGCCGTACACATCGAAATATGTTTTCAGGGTTCCTACAGCATAAGGCAAGTTAAATTCAAGACTTTTTAAGACTTTTTAATGCCACTTGAAATAAAAATTTAAGACCAAATTCACAAGAAACACAAGAAAAACTTGCTTGCGACAACTTAACCCAAAGGTTTATTTTAACATAAACCACTGCACCAATGTTTCAAATTTTGAAAAGCTTCCCATACAGGAAGAAAGCTAAAAACAAACAAATGACAGATATATTTTAACAATTATTTAACTGAATTCACAAACTTTGTTTTAACAGGAACAAAACAAATCAGTTTTAAAGCCACAACATAACCAGTGCTAAGTCTTTTTTGCAGCTATTTTTCTTTGTATCGTTTTCTTAGTATGTTTGATTTGGTGATAAGTGGAGGCGCTGCAGAGACAAGGGTGGAACTAAACTGAGAAATACCGGCTGTTTCTCTGTAACTTGATTTTGATGCTTTGTGTTTCGTGCTTTGCTTGTGCGACTCATGTGCCTTAATTACCATCTTTCTGAGCTTGAATGACTTCTTGCACAAAATCCACTGTGCCTCATGTATGTTCCCTGGCTTTAGCCATGGAGAAAACTCTTGGCTGGACAACCATTTTTTGTTACATTTACGCTTGCTCATATTTTCCAGACAAAAAGTTAATGGTGCATCTCCCAAATGTCCCGGCCGCAACAACGTTTTTATTGGTTCCGCTATCGGGACGGAACCAATAATGGCCATTATTTTTTTTAATACAAAAAAAAAAATTTGCCAATTTAAACGTTTTATTTAGATTACAAATATAAATCGTAATAAAAATAATCATATTTATGATGTTTTAAAAATTAAGACCTACGAAAGACTGATTTAAGACATTTTAATACCAATTAAGGCCTTAGTTTTATTTTGAAGAATTCAATGCCTTTTAAGACTTTTTAAGGACCCGCAGGAACCCTGGTGTTTGCCTTTCTTTGCAAAATAGCGCAAGCTCAGTCAGATTGGATGCAGAGCTTTGGTCATCGGCTTATAAATCCTGCTACAGATTCTCAGTTGGATTTAGATTTAAGATAATAAAGCTTTTTTATGTGGTTTTACAGCCCAGTCAGCCATTCTGCTGTAGCTCAGGCTGTAAGTTTAGGGTCGCTGTTCTTAGACCTTTAAATCTGGGAGACAAGCATTCTCCGTATCATGGTAGGTAGAGCCACTACCGTGTTTCACTGAGGCTGAATGCTGGGGGTAATGCATAGTTTAAACTAAATAAATGTCTTTTAACTCTTAAATAATAGTATTGATAAATACTTAAATTAGTACCATTAATAAACCTTCCTTCCCCAATTACTTATTTCTTACCAATCTCCCATCTGAGTGGTGGCTTTATAAAAAAAACAAAACAAAAAAAAAACTTTTTTTACAGATTTTTTTTTTTTCAAATACTTTTCAAAAAAACCTCAGACCTTCTGAGAACAGCTGGATTTACCTTGAGGTTAAAGTGGACCATGTTTACTAATCATGCTCCACTTCTTAACGTGGTTGTTTAAATAAGGCTATTGATGACAAATAAAAGTCATACTACTCAGAATTAATTTTTAAACCAGATATTTTTATTCTTCCTCCTATTGATTCCCTACTTTGTGTTTCTGGACCAAATATCTTGATAAAATATGATACCCTGGTGGAAAATACCAAAAGAAAACTTTGATCTTCTCAAAGCTGTTCAGGATCTCTAGAAATAGGAAAAGTTTTGGCTCAGCAACTGAAGCTTTTTGTTTTCTGTTTGTGTTCTGTTTATGTTCTCTTATGCTTTAGAGGACAAATACTTTATAATGGCTTAAAAATCATTAATATGATTGTTGGGCCTTTTTAAAAGTTCACAGGTTTGGCATCATCTGACAGAGCAGGCATCTAGATTTATTAGAAGCTACAGAAAAGCAAACATTCGTAGAAAATCTCTGACCAGGGAAGCATGCAGCTCGGAGAAAATGTCAGCCCATCTGAACGTTCTCTCACCTGGCTGCTCTGTGCTGGAGGGAGGAGGCTGCACTACTTTGAGGACAGGTCGCAGGGGTTGGGGCTGGTTTGGGTTGGAGCCTGGGTGTCTGACGGGAGCTATGGTGTAGTGAGCTGTAGCAGGACCGGGACCAGGACCTGGGGTGCGGGGGGCAATCTGCAGGGGAGCTGTGCTCCTGACAGGAGTGCTGCTGGTGTAGGGATGCAGGGAAGGGTTTGGAGCCTGGGGAGCAAGACGTGGGGAAGGAGCGACTGCCAACGTGGGCACAGGCCCACCCTCCTTGCCTGCTGCCTGGCGCACAACAATCTTCACAACTCCAGGGTTGCTCACCATGGTTGAGGGCACTGAAAATAAGGAGTTAAAAGTTAATGAGGATTAACTTTTCTGCCATTAAAGTTCCCGAGCAAATACTTGGGTTAAATTAACAGCATCCATGTTTAGGAGGGTGAAGGAGGTTTAAGGTGAAATACCTTGAGGTGAGGCATTGAGTGGCAGCTTGTTTGCAGCAGCTGTGCTGGTGGTTGCCTGGACAGTCAGCTGTGCAGGCTGGCTGATGAGGTGATGCTGCACGCCGCTGGACACAAGGTGCATCACGTTCCCTACAGAGAAGCAGGGGAGAAACTGATGGTTTATTTTATTTTATGTTTATTTTATTCCATCTGGAACATGAGGCAACCTTTTCATTTGGGCTTTTTCCATCTCTAAAGAATTTATTTTCATTGGCTCAGTTAGCCAGGCAACTATTTGTTATTCAAACAAAATAAATCCCCTTTTCAGCAAAAATAGAATACATTTCTCCAATTATTATGCTGGTCTCTATTCAATTCAATTCAGTTTATTTATAAAACGCCAATTCACAACACGTCATCTCAAGGCACTTTACAGTTCACCAGATCATACATTTAGAGTTTTCTATCTAAGGAAAACCAGTTGATTGCATCGAATCATTGACTCGAAGGCAATCCCTCACACTAAGCATGCTTGAAGCGACAGTGGAGAGGAAAAACTCCCTTTTAACAGGAAGAAACCTCCAGCAGAACAAGGCTGAGTATGAACGGCCATCTGCTGAGGCCGACTGGGGTTCAGGGAGACTGAAGTAGAGATACATTATCATGTGTTTTAGTAAAGCTGCTCTCCAAAAAGCCTAATTGTGTAAAGCTAACTACAGCCTCACTGGAGCATCTTATGGGAGATTACAAATTCAATCTTATTTTCTTTCAGTAGAAGACATAATTCAATTGAGGCTAAACATCCAACTTATTGACAAAACTTTTAAATATGTATCCAGTGACAGATATTAGACATTAATTGAAGTGTATTAGTCAGGGGAAAAAAAACAAAAACATTTTACATCAGTGAACCCTTTGGTGTCACACAATGGACTACTCTGGGATTTAGCTCATTGGTCGGATGATACAAATAAGCTTTTACATCAGCCAAAAATTCACTCCTGACTTCCTGGTATTTGGTTTGGTTCTGCTTTTCTAGGTTTGAGCTCAAGGAAAGAACAAAGCTTTGCATCAAAAACAGAGCAGACTGAGCAAAGAGCACAGAAGGAATATTGGTTTGTTTTTGGTTAGAGCTCTGTGACAGTCTTCTATTTTCATCCATGTTTTGAATTAAACCCAATTTGACGCCTGGACTCCTGAGCACAGCAAGTAACTGAACCGATTTACAGTAAAAAGGTCTGGACACCCTGTCATCTTTAGTCTTCACTAAACTGTTTATAACAGTAAACAGTTTACATATTCCTCTGATAAGTACGGAAGAGGATTAGGGCCAGTGAAGAAAAAAAAAAAGAAAAGTTTACCGATTTTTAAATTTTATTTCAGTTTAGCATGGGAAAAAAGTCAGAATTCTGACATCTTTCTCAGAATTCTGACTTTTTTTCTTAGAATTCTGACTTTTTTTTAATCGTCAGAATTCAGTCAGAATCCTGAGAAAAAAGTCAGAATTCTGAGTTTATAAGTCAGAATCCTGAAAATAAAGTCAGAATTCTGAGAAAAAAAGTCAGAATTCTGACTTTTTTTCCCAATTTAAACTGAAATAAAATAAAAAAAAAAATCAGTTAACTTTTTCTTTTTTTTTCCAGTGGCCTAATCCTCTTCCGTAGATAAGTAATAGAAGGTTATCCATGAAAATCTCTTATTGTTTCTCTGCATTTCATAATAGGAAGAATTTATTCATGTTCTAACTGGTTTAAAAACCCATCTTAAGCCTCTCAGAGACCTGCATCAGGTCGAGCTAAATCCATTAAACTAATCTAAACTTTAACAATCTAAATTAGACAAAAGCTGCTAATAAATGTAACTTCCTCTAGTGCAAATGTTTCATGACCACAAACCTTGAACAGGGCGTGGCCCAGCTGCTGGGACCTGGTGGATCTGAGCTCCAGAAAGAGTCAGTTTGTTGCCTTGAAGCTGGAAGGTGACGGGTTTGCTGCCTTGGCTTGAAGATACAGGTCGCCCTGCCAGAGAAGCCAGCTGTGCGATGCTCACTACCTCACCAGCTGGGAAAGACAGACAAAACAGATCCTTTTTATTGTATCCTTTGTTTTTATGCACATCTTTATCAAAGGTGCCGATAAAAATAAGCTTTAGGGCCCAAACACAACATCTGAGTGAAAACACTCACATGGCAGCCTTGCTTGCATGTCAGGGCTCAGTAAAACCCTCTGAGGCATGATGCTGCTTGGGGCCGGGCTTGAATGGGCTGAGATACTGGCTGCACAGGGAGCACTGGGAGGCCGTACGGTCAGTATCGGTTTTGGGGCGCTGGATCTTACTGCAGTTTGAGGAGCGGGATTGATGGGAGGACGAGGAGGAGCTGTGGGCGCCACAGAACACACCACTGAAAGACATTAGAAAATAGGTGATTACTCAAAGGGTTTCCAATGTTTTAGCTAGTTCTTTATAATTTTTTTGCATGCGTATTACCAACCTTGCTGAACTACAGGGGCAGGAACTGGAGCTGGACCGGGCTCGGAGGATGGAGGAGGTTTGGGGGTCTGAGCTGCAGGCGGAACGGAGCATGTGGGTTTGTTCATCAGTAGTACCGGACGATTATCACCCTTAGGAGGAGGCTGGAACATCCTAATAAGAATCAATTAAAAAATTACTTAGATCAGATTAAGAGGAATAAATTAGACTACAGAAGAGTACTTTTTATATTTCTTTAATGACAAAATAGATTCATGCAATGTTCACAATCCCTGCTGCAGCAAGTACCTGTTGACCTTCATGCGGACGGGTTTGGGTCTTGGAGGTGGTTCTGGGGACTCTGTGATCTCCTGTATAAGCTGGCGGCTGACCTTGTGGCGCGGCAGGAACACGTCTGCCTGGTAACGGCTAACGTGGCGCTCCAAACCAACAAGGCGAAATGCAGATAGGTCGCAGCGCTATAAATTTAAAGTGGACAAAATATCCCAGTCACCCTTTTAGAGAATATGTTAGCAGCAAAATCTAATCATGTTGAGCATCCATTAATACAAACCTTTAGAGGAGAAACCTCCAGAGCTTCCTGCACCAGGGAGGCAGTGTGGAAAACGATGGGCTGTGTGATGAAAGGCGACTGGATGGGTCGAGGGTCAAATAGGTTGGGGTGGTTGCACACTTTGCGGAGCTGCATGAGGATGTTGATTACAGACATGAAGTGACCGCTGGCCAAGGTCTCCCGGGTCCTGAGAAAGCAGGCAGTGATAAGAGGTGTGAATATTTTCCTTTTTTTAAACTTTTTTTTCATAATAATCCTTTGGAAACTCACGAGGCTTGTGCCATGAAGTCGTCGTAGAGAAATCTCTGCCTTTTGGAGAGGCGACAGCGCACCACATGCTCATATTTCTTCGGCATCTGCTTCTCCACATCGACCTTAATCCTCCTGAGCAGGAACGGCCTCAGGACCTTGTGGAGCCTCTTGACCAGGCCCTCATTGTACTCCTGACTGCCCTCGATCATTCCTGTCAGCGGGTTGGAGAACCACTCCTTGAACTCCCGGTGCGACTGGAAGACGTGGGGCATGAGGAAGTGCATCAGCGACCAGAGCTCCATCAGGCTGTTCTGCAGAGGAGTTCCTGTGAGCAGCAGGCGTCGGTGGCTGTGATGGGAGAGATGTTAGAGCTGAGGTTAGGATAAAGTCCCCTTAAGCAAACATGGACCGATTATTGGTAACCATCTCTATTCTATTTTTAAGACATATTTCCCCTAGGTTTGATGAAAGCATACCATCTTCAAATAACAAATAAAACAGGAGAATTCTATTCAGTCTAAAATTAAAACTATATTTTATAGCTTTAAAGGGTTAAAATCCTAATGTTTTATTAAAACTTCTGAACCTGTTTTTATTTTGGTCCTGTTCATTTTTAGACACTAGTAGGCAGCAATGGACACAGCAGAGACTTCCTGGAACATACTTTAGCCACTTGGTAAGATGGCACACACTGAGGACAAAAACAACCCTAGCTAGTATAATTACCACACCCAGCTCCACGCAGTCTAAGGACGCATCTCAGGCTGTCTCTCTGACATTTCAAAATGAATGAAAGCCCATCAGCTCAAACTGAATCTCTTTGGTTTGGCTTGTTTTCCCAGCCAAACCAACCATACACCACAATATTCACATCCAGACTGGATCCCCGTCTCTGACTCCATCAAAGGAAGCAAGAAACCTGGGTGTCATGACTGATGACCAGCTGACCTATAAAGATCATGTTTCCTCCATCTCTCGATCTTGTCGCTTCACACTACGAAACATAGGACCATACCTAACCCAACATGCTAATGTAAGCTCATGGTGCATCTTAGACAGATAACCATAGACTGGACTCTATGGTCATCTCCCACCTTGACTATTGTAACACACTCTTGACTGGTCTCCCAGCCTGTATGTTAAAATCGTAACAAATGATCCAGAACGCAGTGGCTCATGTCACCCCTCTGTTCATTGAGCTTCCCTAGTTACCCCTGGACGCCCACATCAAATTCAAATCCCTGATGCTAGCCTACGAAGTGCTTAAGGGTTTGGCCTCCTTCTACCTGAACTCTCTATAACAGGCTTATGTCTCAACTCGGTCGATCCGTTCCGCAATGGATTGTCGTCTAGCAGTGCCTACACCACGTTTAAGACAATCCAGACTGTTTTTATGTGTTGTTCCAAGATGGTGGAATGACCTACCAAGCTCTACAAGAACAGCAGCTTTCCTGTCTATCTTCAGGAAACTCAAAGACCCACCTCTTCAAAAAGCATCTCCCATCCTAAATCTTACCCATAGCTCTATACCTTCTACTACTCTCTGTTCTTCCAACTTTATCTATTTTTGCTTTCACTTCTGATTCTGACTTGGGATATAGAGCATTCTGTCTACTTTGTAAATCTCTTTGAATAAAGGTGTCTGCTAAATGCATAAACATAATTACAGCCATTAAATTCTCATGAATTTTTCGTATCGGAGTAGTTCTCCTTTATGTTTGCAGCTTTCTTGGAAGAGAGAAAATAATACAATCATATTTTGAAAGGTTTCACTGACCTGTTGAAGTTGAGTAGACTTTGCCAACGCTGTGACTTAAAGTTTTTGATGTTTTGAGCCTCGTCCAGGATCAGATAACGCCAGGATTTACGTCTGAAGGCCTGATGATCTTGCAGCACCAGCTTGTATGAAGTAATGCACACGTGGAAAGCATTGGGTTTCGTCCAGCCCTGAGAAAAGATTTGGTGTTAAATAAAAAAAGAAAAAAAAAGGTGTTCATTTTTCTAGTAATGTCTATTTTCTCATTTCTGACTAATATTAACAAATTGATAGTTTTTTGCTGTGGTATAATTAAGGATAAATAAATGTAAGAGGGCCTGTAAGAAGTTAAATAAAATGTTCAGAAACTTTAAAGCTAACAGTTTAATGGAAAATTAGTCTTCTAACTTAGAGCTAATGGCATCAGTGTTGGTTTTAAAACTAAAACAAACCAATCAACAGTAGTTCATACATATCAAGTGAAAAAGACAGCAAGCATGGGTTCCATAAAACCATTAGTTTGCCTCCTGCAATGCATAGTTATGCGTCCGTTTTACAGGTGTTAGATGGACATGAATGCAAGTCACTGCTGCCTACAGGCTCCAGTTATCTTTGCACAATCAATTATCAAATGGAGACAAAACAAACTGTCACAGTGAAGATCGCTACAATGAGCAGAATATATTCTCAAAAATTTAGCTCTGTCATGCATGCTGCTACTATTCTCCTCTATTTTAACTTAGCTTTCCTCTAAACAAATCCCTACACCAGCATACTAAAAGAAACGCTGTAGTCAAGCAGAAGTAGACATGTCACCTGTCGCTTCAGCTTCCTCTCCTTCTGGCTGCCAAAGTAAGTGAGGATTTTAAACCCTGGACACCAGCGCTTCAGCTCCATCTCCCAGTTCAGCATCACACTGGTGGGCACAATGATGAGGTGGGGACCCCAGTTCCCTAAAAGAAAAAAAATAATAATAATAAAAGTATCAAAAATAAAGTACAAGCACCTTTTACATGGAGAGGGATGTTTGAAAACATTACCTTTTTCACAGGCAAGGTGAGCCAACAGAGCAATGGTTTGGATGGTTTTACCCAGGCCCATTTCATCAGCAAGAATCCCATTGAGCTTCTTCTCGTACATGGTGACCAACCAGTCCAGTCCGATGTGCTGGTATTCCCGCAGAGTTCCGTGAAGCAGGAAGGGGATGGGGGTCTTCACCTGCAGCAGGGATAAAGGATGACAAAGGAATGATCCAGAGGTTTGGAAACAAGACGACTTTCACCTAACCAGTGAAACTAAAAAGGTACAATCACCTTTTGACAGGAGGATAACGGGTCGCAACACTCAACAGTCACCGCAAAAAGAATCAAAAATTTGAAATCATGCAACAAATAAAAAAGCGGATATAAAAGCAGAGGAAGAAAAGAGATGAGAGAAGGTTTTCTACATGCCTGGACTCATTAGGCTGTGAGAGAGCAAGGCGCCGAGCAGAAAACAGGAAAGCAATACAGCAACTTTAAAAATCAATCAATTGTTTTTGTAAGATATTGGAAATAATTTGGGCTGAAACAATCGGATAAATCATGATTAATCAATTATTGAAAAAATCTTTGACTAATTTAGTAATGGATTAACCATTAACTGGAGTATAGAAACTCTAAAAGGTGTGTTTGGTTGACAGAGTATCCCACCATGGCTACGTTCACACTGCAGGCTTTGATGCTCAATTTTGATTTTTTTTTTTTGAGAAATCCAATTTTTTTGCGTTGCCGTTCATATTTCCAAATATATGCGACTTGTATGTGATCTCCTGTGCAGTCATACAATGCAAGTGTCCCGCATGCGCAGTAGAGGACGCAATGTCAGCGTGCTCTTTTTTTCCGGAAGTAAACATGGATGGTAGTGCTGGAGAACATTTAGTGATCTTTTCCAACGATAAAAACACAATCTTTTCAATATGGTTAAACATAAATACTGCTCTCCGCATCATCATCTGCCATGGTGGTTGTTTTTTTGCCGCTTCTGCGTAGCAAGACGCATAATAGTGACCTTTGTCGGGTATTAATGACGTTCAGGTCGGATGAATGCGACCTGGCCGTTCACACACGGTTTGCATTTGAAAAGATCAGATTTGAATCGGATTTAGGACCACATAGCCAAATAGCCTGGGTCGGATTGGAAAAAAATCGGATCTGTGTTGTTTACACAGCCATGAAAAAAATCAGATTTAGGTCGCATATGGGCAAAAAAAATCGGATTTGGGTCACTTCAGGCTGCAGTGTGAACGTAGCCCTTGAGAAGCAATTGTACCAAATTGTAAAAAAAAAAAAATATATGAAAAAATGTAGCATTTAAGATAAAGAAAACTTTTTTTTCGGTCAATATGCTCTATCCAAAAGTTTCAGTTTTACATTGTTTAATTTTGTAAAGAGTCTTTTTAAGGAACTGTGTTGATATATTAATTATCACAAAAAAAATTATCAAAAACCTAATCTATTTTTGGGCTGGGCAATTAATTGCATTCGAAATTTGAACAAACAAAAATTTCAAACCGCAGAGGCACTAATTTTTAATCACACTATAGTTAAGAAGAGCAAAACATTAAATTTATCCCTCCAGTCCTTCAGGTGGTGATTAAATCCTTGAAGTGGGTTTGTCACCATGCAAATAGAAGTGAACACTTTTTCACACAATGTTTACAGTAAAGTACTTTAAAAATGGACTCTGGGAAAAGAACCATTCAAAAACCAAAAGCCTGGGGTGAAACATCTAGTTTGGGATTAGTGCAAACGAAAATCAAAATAAAATGGTAATTTTGATTAAAAATATTTGTAATTTAGATTTTTTTTAAATCGTTCAGCCCTAATCAAATGGTTAATTAGCTAGTTGCAGCCCTAGAAATTCTAATATTGCTAATGGATCCTAATGAGTCATTATAGTTATTAAAGACCGTTTTAATTCTGTCTTCATTCTTTTCTTATAAAATGTTAATCTTAAAGGTTGCATTTGAATCCAGTGAGATTGACACATGCCCTCAAAGGTTGTGACTGATGCCTCTTTAGCTCAGGAGAAAGAAAAAGGGTTTGAACATGTGTGAGACTAACCTTGGTTGTAGCCAGAGTGTAGCCTTTAGGCTGCAGGCTCTCTGCTGTTGCAGCAATATGGCTGATCTCTTTCTTTGGCCTTGAGCTGGAGGAGGGAGGGCTGTGGTCCCCCTCCTTCAGCAAAAGCTCCATCCCTTCATCTCCACACTCATCCTCCTCTTCATCACTCTCCCCCTTCTCGGTGTCATCGTCTGCACTATCCCCAGGAGAATCTAAACAATTAATCTAGTTAATAGATTATCCAAAGTTTTTTTAAACTTTGCATTTGTTAAATGATAAAGAAGTTAGGATTCTGGAGGAGCTCTTATACCTGAAGATGATGTGTTGCTTTCCACATCACTCTCATCTTCCTCATTCTCCACCTCCTCATCCCCAGACACCTCAGAATCAGAGCTGGCTTTGGAGACAGACGCAGACGGAGCCTCAAAGTCAGATGCATATGCTCCTTTATACTTTTCCAGAAGCTCTTCCAGGCTCATGTCGCCTAGAAGTAAAGCAGAGACGAGTCGGGTTGTGTGACATTTCTTTCCATAATGAAGGTTACTGCATAGTTTGGCATTTCTTGTGACCAAAAATAAAACAAAATGATACACAGATCGGAATTTTTTTACAGAGGGAAATCTGTATAGGGGAGTGGAGGCCTAGTGGTTATGGCATAGAGCTTGGAATCCAGAGGTTCTGAATTCAAGCCCCACTCCCACAGACTGACAGTCTGGCTTCGTGAGAAAAGATCCTTTACTCCACAGTGCTTCCCGGGTGCCGCCAAACATGGCAGCCCACTGCAGAGAGTTCATTTTGTTGCTCTGTACTTGTGACAATGCAATGACAATAGAAACAGCTGATCTGAAAACTATTGCATGCATTTAAGTTTAATCCCTCCTGATCAATACTTTCTAGAACCACCTTTTACAGCAATCACAGCCGGGTTTTTCTTTTTTTTAGGGAAATGAATTTCCACATCTAGACATTGAAGATTTGACCCTTTGTTGAGAGTAGAATGGACATTATCTGCCCTAAATTATAACTGTCCTTAAATTCATGCCTGGGCAGGTTTGTCAAAGTACAAGCTCATTGATTCCCCCTTAAAGTAATCATTATAAAAGTTATTTTTTCCCACTCTGATAATATGCAGGACTTTGTGGTGTTTTCCCATATCAAAATAAAATATGTTAAGTAGGGATGCACGATATAATCGGCCCCCTATCGGTATCGGCCTTAAAACTGAATATCGGACATCGGCCACCCCACCGATATTTAACCTGATATTTGATCAGCTTCTGAGTTTCTAAAGTCTAAAAAAAAAATAATACTTCTTCCTCAAAAACTTTTTTTTTACAGACTTAAAAACTTCTAAAGACGAGGGAAAAAATATTGATACATTAAAATATCACAATATCTTCATATGCTGATATATTGCCATTTAAAAACACCATATCAATCTCTTTTACTAATGAAATATTGCTATATGTCATCGTTATGCTACGAAATCCCCCCAAAATTCACGAAATTTTGCCATATTTTTATATGTTGATATATTGACCCGGTATCGATCTATTTTACTAACAAAATCTCACAAGAATTTGCAAAATATCACGAGAGTTTGTAACAGAACGATGAAATTTCACGAGATTTTGAAAGTAAAATAGATCGATACCGCGTTTTTAAAAATCTATTTGATATCAGCATATGAAAATATATTTGAGTATATTATTTTTCAAAGTGTCAGAAATGGATAACAAAACTGCTATTTTCAATGACTACTTATTTTTGTCCAGCTTTAACATCAGTATCGATATCGGTTACATGAGTTTTAAAATATCGGCATATCGGATATCGGCCAAAATCCCGATATCGTGCATCCCTAATGTTAAGGTTTGTGGGTGTAATGTCACAAAACATAAAAAAAAAAAAAAAAAAAAAATTCATTTAGCCAAACACTTCACAGCAAAAAATGATTTAGATGTAAAGAACATACAAAGTTCTGGTGATAAAGCTCTAAAATGGAGCAAACAAACGAATACAAACAAAGACATACCCTCTTTGGCCAGGTCATCAAGCTCCTCAGCGTGGTTGACATTCCCTTCCACCTTCTCCTGGGCTGCTATGGTGTCTTCCTCATCCTCAGCTGAACACAGGACATGAAATAGTAACTATTACTACATGAATACACTAAAGCTGGTGGTAGATTTCCAGCATCTCAATCTCACCGTCCTCCTCGTTGGCAGCAAATTCTCCATCTTCATCCTCCTCCGCCGATAGAGAAGATTCGTGTGAGCATTCCTCCTCTGAGCCAGACTCCTAAGTTTTCCAAAGATTTAGTGATTGCTTAGTACATGAAGCAAATATACACCACTTCCCCACCAAACACCGGTGATATTAAGCTACAGCTGTTATCTAGCTCATTATAAGAAGCTGAGAATTTCAGTTTTTATTCCAACCAAGAAGTTTGACCTGAAAGATAAACTCTACAAGCTGTATGATTTGTTTTAAATTGTAATTTAATTAGAAATGTTTTTTCTGTAATCGTCAGAAAAACCTTGATTAGCATGGCGGTGATCAGATCATTCTCGTAACTGCTAACCAGTTTCAGCTTAAATAGTTTTTTAGAGAAGGAGTACCCTGTCCAGATGCTTAAAAAACCTGACTTTTTTTTATATTATTTAATCCAAACAACAGAACTGAAGAACTTATTTCTGGCTAAAGAAATGAAACAACTTTCTTACATTTTAAGCCTAGCATGTAAATTCCTGACTAAAGCATTTTCCTCTTTATTGAAGAAACATTCTCAAACATCCTGTTAGCATAGACAGTAGGGGTGGGTATTGCCAAAGAAGTCACGATTCGATTCGTATCACGATTCACAGGCCACGATGCGATTCTATCACGATGTATCACGATACTTGAATTATTGCGATGCATTGCAATATTTTCTCCTCCATGTTTTGTTTTTTAATGACTCGGCGCAGTATCCC